CTGCTACCGCTGCTGCTGCTGGATGTACCCAGCAGCAGCAGCAACAGTGTGAAGTGAGACAGCAGCAGCAGCAGCAGCAGCAGCTTGTGGTGGTGATTGTTTGCTGCAGGAGCTACAGGGGCCCCTGACATCTCCCCTAGAGGAGGAGCCGCCGCTCTTCTGCGGGCAGCAGCAGCAGCAGCAGCAGCAGCAGCAGCAGCAAGATAGTGAGCCGTTTGCTGCCAACTACGGACACAGTGAGCCAGAAGAAACCGCGGCAGACATGCCAGCAGCACCCATAACGGAAGCAGCAGCAGCAGCAGCAGCAGCAGCAGACACGGCTGAACACCAAGGGGACGCAGGAACGCAGCAAGCAGCAGCAGCAGCAGCAGCAGCAAGCTGCAGCAGTCCCGTTCGTGCCCTGTCTCTAACTAGCCCTTTGAGCACCTCAGCGTCCTGTTGCATGCCTGCGACTGCAGCAGCAGCAGCAACAGCCGCAGACGCTGCAGCAGCAGCAACGGCAGCAGCGCCGCCACGCCGAAATGCGTTGGAAGCTTCAGGCCCTTGGAGTACGTTCGCTGCTTTGTGCTCGCCGCGAGCAGCAGCAGCAACAGCAGCAGCTGCTGCGCCCGCAGCAGCAGCAACAGCAGCAGCAGCAGGGCCGATTTTGTTAGTGCCATCGGGCTCTCAGCAAGTGTGCGCCGCTGGGCCTGCTGTTGTCCGTTCTGCTGCTGCTGCTGCTCCTGCTGCTACTGAGGGCACCTGTGTGGTAAGGAGGCGCAGCAGAATGTGCTTTGCAGCAGCAGCAACAGCAGCAGCAGCAGCAGATGGCAAACAGATAAGGAAGCAGCCGCAGGGTTTCGCGTGGAGGCCGCGGCTGCAGCAGAAGCTGCTGTTGCTGGCAGCACTTGTTACTCCCCGTCACAGGCGTGCGGAGCTGCTGCAGCAGCAACAACAACAGCAACAGCAGCAGCAGCTGCGAGAGCAGCAGCAGCAGCAGCAACAGCAACAGGAAACGGGCTCAGGACACCCCCGCAGGTGGACCGTCGACGGCCATTTGCTGCTCGAGGCGAACGAAATATCGCCGGCGCCTCGCAGCAGCAGCGTCAGCGGCAGCAGCAGCAACAGCAGCAGCAGCAACAGCAGCAGCAGCAACAGCAGCAGCAGCAACAGCAGCAGCGGCAACAGCAGCAGCAGCAACAGCAGCAGCGGCAACAGCAGCAGCAGCAACAGCAGCAGCAGCAACAGCAGCAGCAGCAACAGCAGCAGCAGCAACAGCAGCAGCAGCAACAGCAGCAGCAGCAGCAACAGCAGCAGCAGCAACAGCAGCAGCAGCGGGAGCGCTGTGCTTTCTTCAGGCGTTCTGTGGCCTGTAGCTCCTGCTGCCTCTCATGCAGCGCCGGCCGCTGCTGTTCCTTACAAGCTGTCGCCCCGCCAGCAGCAGCAGCAACGGCAGCAGCAGCAGCAGCAACTGCTGCTGCGGGACAAACTCTACCAGCAGCAAATACAGCAGCAGCGACTTTGTGCTTCACATGCAAAGGCCCACAAGCGGCAGCAGCTGCTGCTGCAGATGCTTCCACCGCCGCAAAGGCAGCCCCAGACAGCTCAGCAGCAACAGCAGCAGCAGCACGTGCCTCCGGAAGCAGCAGCGGCAGACGCAGCAGCAGCAGCAGCAGAAGCAACAGGAGCAGCTGCTACTTCTTTTGTCCGCCGAGCAGCAGTTGTGCCACGTTTAGATCTTTCTTCTGTCTGTGGGGCCCGCAGCAGAATGCAGCAGCAAGGAAGCAGCAGCTTAGCAGCAGCAGCAGCAGCAGCAGCAAGCGGCCCAAGGGAAGTTGATGATGCTGCAGCAGCCCCCCCTGCTGCAACAAGCAGCACTTGCGCCTGCGGCAGCAACCATACGCACAGAGCACAGCAGCAGCAGCAGCAGCAGCAAACGAAGGAGTTGACCTTCTCAGGCTCTGCAGCAGATGCAGCAGCAGGTGCAGCAGAAGATGCAGCAGCAGCTACAGCAATAACAGTTGCTGCTGCTACGACTGTGTTCGCACCAGAAGGCATGCAATCAGCAGCGAAAACAGAAATAGCCGCGGAAGCAGTAACACGAGAAGCAGCAGCAGCAGCAACAGCAGCAGCAGCAGCAGCAGCAGCAAGCCCTGTAGACTGCGGCTGCTGGGATGGCTGCGACGAGCCTCTTCGCGCTATTTGGCGGATCTTTGATAACCTGAAGCAGCTGCTGCAGAAGCAGCAGCAGCAGCAACAATGGAAGCAGCAACAACAACAGCAGCAGCAGCAGCTGCAGCTGCAGCGCATGCAGGCGCCGTGGCAAGTGCCATGGCTCCCCTTGTCAGCTGCTGCTGCTGCACTTTGTGCCTGTCCAGGGCATCACCGACAGCAGCAGCAGCAGCAGCAGCTAGACACGCAGATGCATGCGCTGCTCGCTGCTCTTGTTGTCTCTCTGCTGCTGCACGAAGCTCAGCACGAGCCTAGAGACTTACCTGAAACAGCGCATGACAGCCAAGCAGCAGCAGCAGCAACAGCAGCAGCAGCTGCTGCTGCTGCTGGGGGTGCTGCTGGCAGCAGGGGCAACGTTCGCACCTGCAGCAGCAGCACAGAGAGCGCATGCACCCGTTTGCTGCTGCTGGCTGCTGCTCCTTTTGGGGAGCAGCACCTGACAGTCGATGAGCTGCTGGGCACCCTGC